GTGGCCAGCGGACTGCTGGCGCGACAGCCACGCCCGCACAACGTGAATGGCAATTTCAGCTCCAGCCGGGACCCCGACACCGAGCTGGGCTGGCCACAAAAACGCCTGTGCCTCCTCGCGAACAGCAGTCTAGCAATAGTAATAGTAGCCGTAATAGTAATAATATTCGTCGTCGTCATCGCAGCAGCAGCAGCAGCAGCAGTAGTAGTAGTAGTAGTAGCAGCAGCAGCAGGGGGGGAGGAGACATCTTTCTGGCGATGAAATTGAGCCCTGACTAGGGCCCTTGTCACTTGTACATGCACTTAGCGTAGATACTGCATGATGTAGACCCTGCTGGCGGCTATACGTATACGCGTTATGAGCATGGCAAGTTTCAAGCTTTGTCCTTCTTGCTTGCAATCTATTCTGGAACAACAGCAACTTCAACTTGATGCAGCACTTGTCCATATCCTAGTCTCTAGCGTGATGTTCCGCAAAAGACGATGTGTAATAATGTCTCGTCAAGGCACCTCCCCCGCAACAGCCAAAAAGCTCAGTCGATATAGGTTTCTCTCCAACTCAATGGCTGAGACCATGCGCAAGTTTGACACCTGCTGTCCTGCCGCCGTGTCGATTATGCTGCAGTTTCTTGGTAGTTTTATCCCACTCGTTGCTGTGCTTGTACGTGCTTGCTTCCATGCACGGGGTTCCGGTATTTTTAGTTCGGCTTATACCTTGTGACAATGTCCTACCTCGTTTGCATGCTTGAGCCCTTGAACGTTACAATGTTTGGTGCATTTGACCTGAAATTAGACCCTTTACGAGAAACCTCTGGGTTCTTGTTGGGATCGGTGAGACTACCATCTGATCCGCTCCACGCGTCAGCGTGCCCCATGCCCATGCGAGGCTTCAAAGCCAAAGCAGCACACTAATGACCAGCCCTACATACACGCTGCTGAAACCTCATCGCTGCCTCTGCAAGGAGGCTTCAGGTTCACAATCTCGCTGCTGGACTACATGTGCGTGCTACTGCGATTCAATATCAGCTGTGTCGCTTGCATAGTACGAGTCTAAAAAATTGCTGGTCACAAACAAGCTCAGGACTCTGATACTGATGTTGGTCCTGCAGAATCCAGAAGGATTGTTCAGCAACGGCTTTCTGACGACTACAAACAGCCCGTTCAGTCCTGCGTCTCCCACGGCCTGTAACTTATCCCAAAACGTGGTGTACCTGCACTGACGAGCATTCCAAGCTCATTGCCACTCAACAGATTATGTGACGTTGATTGACTTCACTAGTATGCTTAAAGCACTAAGTTGCCCGTATTTTCTTGTAGCTCAGCTGGCTTATCCTGGTGGTGGCGAGTACACAGCTTCATAGGCCTCAACCAGTTCCACCCGAGATGTGCCAGAGATATAGGTAATAGTTAGCATCGGCTCTGCCGCGTCTTTTCATGTCAAAACAAGGCTTATCGTGGTACAGAACATGCTCCCTTCACAAGGCAACCAAAACAGACCGCAACCGCACTGCTCCACGTAAACATACTAGACATGGAACCTCCGATGATTCGCATGCAGGCATTTGCAAGCAACTCAGCTGCCCCGCATCGCTCGGGCCGGGGCACGGGTATTTGTCGTGGCTGAGGTAAACAACAGAAGCTGAAACGTTTGAATACCTGCAGAAAGGCTTTTACAGCTCAGATGTAACATGAAGTAACCAATCCTGTCATGGACATAGTGTCAGCAGATGTTAGTGCCACAGCCGGCTTCTGCACTTTTGAGCGCAGCACGTCGAAAGCAATCCGTGGCAACCCTTCGCCATCAAAAATGCCTCCATCACAACATCCTGCCAGCATCACGAGACTGTCTAGAGTACACTGCGGGGACACTACCCTTAGACAAACCTCTGCTTTCTTGTAAGCGTCCACAGATTTGTCGAAGTGGACAGCCTCCACACGCTACGTTCAAGAAACCGCACGGATGGCTGCACGCAAGTCGCAGATGGTTCAATGCATACATCACTTCTGCTGGAAGCAGAATTCCAAAGGTTGCTCTGCATGCACATTTCTAGAAAGATAGAAGGAGCAAAGAGTTTCCCCGCCATTCCCCGCCAACATATCTCGAAAGGACAACAAGCCTAGGGCGCAGCGGTGAAAGGAGCGAGCCAGCATACACTTTGTACTTTATACCTCCTGAGGACACCAGCAGGGCAGGATCGCTTGTACCGGAACCTCTGATGTGAATTTCTCCGTGTGCAACATCATAGGAGGCCGCTGGACGATGGCTTGGCATGCAAACGCAGCCAAAGCCACACACGTCAGGAGGGGAAAAAACAAGCGAACACGCGGAGCTACCACTACAGGCATGGAAAATTTACAAGGACCTCACCAGCCATCCTGGGAAATGCGCCCCGAACGAGGAATTTCAGGAAATGACCACGAGCTACTTGAACACGTTCAAGCCAGCTACGGGAGGCCCAAGTCCGGCTGGGAAATCGGCGAGACTTACTTTCGACAAACGACGAACCCACCCGCTAGGGCCCTTTAATTGTTCCACGCAGGGCTGTTTTGCATGAGGCTTTTCAGACCCTATTCTCAAAGATTCCAGGGTCGTAAGGTTTTCCCCATATGGCTCCAATGAAGCACATGAAGCAGCTCTTGAACCCACAGGTACCACCCTACGGGTCAACAACAATGGATTTACAGAATCCTATTTAGCAATGCACGCGACTTAGTAACTACTTCTAACTAGGCCTGTTATTCTACTGCTGTTCCTCCTAGTTGGACTTGTAGAGGTTAAACACATTATACGTAAGGAATTATGAGCACAGTTATTTGTAGTTACTAAGTCCCATGGACCTCCGAGTGCCCTTGTGCCACTTCCACATCTTAGGAGCCAGAACTTTGATTTCGGACTTGTGATTATTCAGCTGCCCTTCCACCTGCTATCATTGACATAGCACGTACATACATAAGTACGTACCTACGTACGTACGTACATACATACCTACATACATACCTACATACATACCTACATACATACATACATACATACGTGCATACGTACATACGTACATATGTACATACATGCATAAATACATGCATACGTGCATACATGCATACGTGCATACATACGTGCGTACGTACGTATGTGCGTATGTATGTATGTATGTATGTATGTATGGTTGTATGTATGTATGTATGTATGTATGTGTGTGTATGTATGTATGTATGTATGTATGTATGCATGTATGTGAAAAAGTAACTGAAGTCTTCCAAGTAGATCAGCAAAGACACACCTGAGTGTTCCCAAGCTGCATCAACACAAGTCCTTTATGCCGAAGGCGCGATCAAGTCTTGAGCCAACATAAGTTGGCATGTCATGACTCACCTAAGTGATCACAGGAAAGTGTATT